TGATTGAAGAGGCCTGCAAGCCATGAGGCACCGAGCCATCCGCATTCTTTCCAGAATTCGTTTGGTATGTCATCTGGACCAGAAGCCTTGCAGTTCTTTGTCCTTGCTATAGCAAGCCATACTTCCTCCGCTGTTATGCATGGTACTGGTCCTTTCACAGGGTCAGCTGGTGGGGTGGCTGTGCCAATGCTGGCAGTAGACGACATTTCTTCGAAGCACGTTCGCCATCTCTCAGTTATTTCCTGTGGTTTTCTTAACGTTTTTCCAAGCTGGTCTTTGACATGGTAGGTGTTCCATATTGCGGGCTCTGCCCTCCCTCGCGCTATTTAATATATTTCGCTCTCTCTTACAAGATTCCAATTTTCTTTACAGCTCTTCTACGTATGCCTTCTTCGCTTTCTAGACACATGCTTGCAGCGTGTTTTATTTTTAGGTACAACTGTTCATCACTTTCCGATTCCGATTTACGCCATTGCTTGCATGGCTGACTCTTTTTCTTTACCACCGTTTAAACCTCCCTTTCTCCACCAAATTCCTTAGCCGATTCTGACTTCGTATGACCTAGTAGATTCCTTGCTACCCGATGTACGTTCCCTTCCAAGGCTGACTTGTTCTGGTTTCCCACATATGTCCGGTATAGTACTTACCAGAGCTTCTTTGGCCAGAGAGTTCCCTTTCAATTCCCGCCACTTGATTCGTGCTTTGTTGTTAGTCATGGCTTTCTATTGTCGTTTAGCCGGAATTTTTAGGTCTGTAGTGGCTTATGCTAAGGTATGCAGCTTTCACCTGGGATTCTTTGCAATCTTTTATGTTCTTTTGGTTATTGTAACGCATTGCCTAGTAGTCAATTTGCGTTCGACGGTCTTCACTTAAATAATTAAGTGTTCATACTTCTTCATGTAGTAGTTGACTAATGTTAGGTTGTATGCTGTGGCAAAGTCTAGAGTGCGTTCGCCTTCTTCATTAATGTGCCGTAACCGTGGTTCTTGTACAATTTTCCGCCGCACATGACCGTTTAGATCTGCTCCGAGCAGGAGCATCTCATCCTGTGGTATGGATGTGATGTATCGTCAAGTTCCTGCCAGAACATATTCTTTTCTTCCCTTTATCCAGTTTGCGGAGCGTAGGCGGTTATAATTCGGTTTTCTATGAGTGTCAATCTTAACGCTCATAAATCGGTCACTTAATTGATCAACTGCGGCAATCCTGCTCCTTAGGCTTTCTGAGACAGCTGTATCTACTCCATTGCGACTGCTGCTTGTGCCATTGTAGAGAAGCTTATAACCATCCCTGATATCGCGTGATTTTCCACCCTTCCGTTTTGTTTCCTGTGTGCAGACTATATCCACTCGTCGACTCCTCAGGAGATCCGCCAATTCTCGATGTCGTCCAGTGAGGGTTCCGACATTGATGGTAGCTAATCGGA